TTCCATATTACATAGCACCCAAGTTTTACCCATGTTCTATCCACTGTTAATGAAAGGAAAACTGATTTCTCCATCATCATATAAATTGATCTCTGTGACTTGTCAAGGAGTCAGAGCAGTGATGATAATGACCCTGTAAGAGTATTAGATCTAATACCCTGAGGCATTAACCTTTGTTTAACCAAAAGGTAAATCTTTTGATGAAAGACAACATTTTATTACTATCCACCTGCAACAAATATCTCATTTCTTACTACTATAACTCAGCTGCTGGGACTGAAGAGCAAAACTTGCACTTTACATTCAAAGGCTCTCGAGTAATTCACATTGAAGTCATGGATCAAAACTGATTATATAGTGATGATGTTGAAGTCCTGCAAGGTGCCATGCCCTGCAGAGAGGGGTAAATGTAGCAGCTGAAACTGGTGGAGAGAGATGGAGGCTGTGAACAAATTTCCCCTGGTAAAGAGTACTAACCAAGTTGCAGGAGGAGGGTAGGCAAACAGGAAAGGTGTTCTTGGCTTGTGGGGCAGTACTAATCCTCTCAGTCACCCCATTATTATTTTTTCTGAGAGAACCTATGTAAAACTGAGTAGTCACTTTTATTGTCTCTGTTCAGAAACAGATAAGAACTCTAGAGCTGGTGTTTTCCCATGGAATTTAAATTAGAATATAGCAAGATTATGTTGCCAAAAGCCCATCAAGTTCAATCTCACTCCAATCACCACTATTTGCTCCATCTTCAGCAGTCTGTTATGTTTTGAGAGCACCACATCTTTAAGCAAACACGGTAAGTCAGCATTATTTCAGGTATTTCCTTGCATATTTCTCTGCCCTGTAAGATCAAGTTCCACCCATAAGCATGTGCCCCTGCATTGTCTCATGACAAATGGTTTTCTGTGGTTCTCTGAATATCCAGCCTTGGTTGCACCTCCTCAGTTTCTACCACAACACAGTCCCAAGTTTTGATTTTCTTGCAACAGAGTTTATTTTTCTTTATTAAAAGCAAATGTAATTCGGGCCTTTGAAATCCTTGTGTCTACATGGCAGGTCACACAAAACAGCACTGCTTTCCAAATTTAATATTCTTTAATGTATTTGTTAACAGAACATTGACATCTGCTTAATGCTTTCTTTACAAGAGTCTACCAGATCTCCCTTTGTGCATTTCTTGCCAACCTCAGCTCTCAGTTTTTGCATTTATAAAACAGGACATGAAGTAAGAAACAATACAGTTTGAAGTTCCAGAGCTAAAATCTAACATAAACCCTTTCCCAAAAAATATTTCTTTGAAAAATACATCTGCCCTTTCAAAAGCTTTGAATCATGGTCATCTCACTCACTGAGCCGCTGCTTAAACAAAAGCCACCCATTTTTTGTAATGCTACAAGGCAAGGAAAAACAACAAACTATGGGATAGATAGTTGATACATAGTTATCCTTTCCACGCCAATGCTTCCAGCAACTCTCCAGCGTAAATCAGGTGCCTCATCGGAGAGAATTTTTGGCAGCCTAAAAAGAAAAAGCAGCGACTCGAGTGTGTTTCTGAACCTCTCTTATAAAACCAGTCTCATATACTGTAAACTCTCACTTGGTATTTTTAACCCTTGGGCTCCCATGGGTTTTTTTTCATTTTATCAAAACAAAGGAATGTGAGGGAGATGTCTGTTAGACTCCTTTACTCATCCCAAGGGTTAATTACTCAGTTTTGTAGACATTTGAAAATATTATGCTACCTTTAATGGCAAAATTGATAGAAGCTTGTTTCAGGCTCACTTTATGTCATTATGGCAGATTAAATTAACTAATCATAAATTATGCTGGCTAAAGTACATCTGCTACTCACTAAACCTGCAGAGAGAAGGGAAGGGTTTTTTCTACTGAATAAGAAGTAAATACCATGCACAAAATTAAAGACTTTTACAGACCAATAAACATACGTTCAAGCAACAAAATCTGGAAGCATCCCAAAGTCGGCAGCAACAGATTCTAAGGACCATGGCAGCAGTCTAACAATGAACTTGTAGCTGTTGTGGAAAAGCATCAACACTGCAATGCTGCAGGGGTATACCCATGGATCAAAGAGTAAAGATGTCCATTAAAGGATAAAGAAGGTTAATTAAACAAGAATTAGCATGCTCACATTATTGCTAGACGTCTTTGAATAGCAATATGACTGTAATGGGTTGACGGTGGCTGGATGCCAGGTTCCCACCAAAGCCCTCTCTCACTCCCCTTTGCAGATAGAAAAGGGAGGGAAAATGTAATGGAGGATTCATGGGTTGAGATAAGGACTGGGAGAGATTGCTCACTAAAAACCAGCTTGAATTAGGAATGTTAATTGAATTTATTACTAACAAAATCAGGGCAGGATAATGAGAAATAAAATAAGGCCTTAAAAACACCTTCCTTCCAGCTCTCCCTCCTTCCTAGCTCTACCTCCCCTCCACACCAGTCCAGGGAAACTGGGAATGGAGGTTACTCTCAGACCATCACAGGTTGTTCCTGCCACTGCTCAGGGAGGGGAGTCCTTCCCCTGCTCCAGCTTGGGGTGCCTCCCATGGGAGACAGTTCTCTATGAACCTCATCAGCAGAAGTCCATCCCATGGCAACAGTTCTCAAACTGCTCCAGTGTCACTCTTTCACACAATTTGGTCCTGGTAGGTAGACTCACAGTGTGAGTCCTACCAGGAAACCTGCTCCAGCATATGTTCCTCTCCATGGGTCTGCAGGTCCCACCAGGACCGTGTCCCAGAATGGGCCTCCCACAGGATCACAGTCTCCTCTCAAGCATCCATCCTCTGGTGTGGGTCTCCTCCACAGGCTGCAGGGGGATCTCTGCATCCCCATGGATCTCTCATGGGCTCCAGGGGCACAGCTGATTCACCATGGTCTGCACCACAGGCTGCTGGGGAACCTCTGCTCTGCTCTGCCATTGGGAATACCTCCTTCCCCTCCTTCTCCACTGACCTGGTGTCTGCAGGGCTGTTCCTCTCACATAATTTAACTCTGCTTTTCTCTGGCCAAAATTACAACTGGTTTTTTTTATTATTTTTTTTTTTTTAATATGTTATCACAGCAGTGTTACCACTATTTCTTATTGTCCCAGCCTTGGCCAGTGTTTGATCCATCTTGAGGCCACCAGGGAATGAGGCTGCTAGACATGAGGGAAACTTCTGGTAGCTTCTCACAGAAGCCATCCCTGTAGCCGCCTCCACCACTACCAAAACCTGTCCACACAATCCCAATACATGATGTTTGCAGCATCTACTTCCAATGTCAGCTCTTCCATTTTCTGTTCAAAGGGACTGAATACACCATTTCTCTAGGCTTTCAAGGGAGGAATGGATGTACAGATCACTGATCTAGAAGACAGCACAGATTTTAAAGGGATCTTCTTATTACTGTCTGTATTGCAGAATGCAGATGTGGCAGCTAATACCGTGTTAGTGGGAGTAAACTCCTTAGCAAGGCACAAAAACTGAAGTTAGAGATGTGTGCCACAGGCACTTAAGACCTCTTTGTTGCAAAGCAAAGAATGAGACCCTCTCTGAAAACTCATGGTAGACCAGCTCAATCAATCAATCTATCAATCAATCACATTAAATGAGGATTTCCTTTCTTTTGAACTAATATAAGGAAGAAAAGCACTATTGTATTGTATTACATGTAAATTCACATATGTAGTTGACAATTAAAAATCAGAATGTAGTTTCGGGGTGACCAGATAGATTGTGTCTAGGAAACAAACTCTGCTGAGCACCTCCAAAAAGATTCCAAGTTAGATGATCAGCCATGTGACCATGTTTAGAGGGAGGTTAAAAAAGATTTTAACACATTTATTGTGTTCCTTCAGGTGTCACAGAGCCTCATGAAGTTTTGGGGGCATCTGAATAGCCCAAGCATAGTTAAAGTGCAAGCTCTCAACACATTATAACCTTCTGGAAACGTGCAGCACTTTCTGTTCACCTATTCCCAGGTTCATTCTCTGTCAGTCCCTTGAGGCAGATGAGGTTCTTAGTACCATCTCAGTCCTTTTCCCTCACAGTTCCCTTCCATTTCACATTTTCTGAAAAGTATTACCCATACCACCTTCCATACATGATGCATACAGCTATAAAAAAGTCCCAAGGAATGAAATATAGCTACAGAATTTAGAGGAAAGCAGTAAGGAGGAGAACTGTGTCCCTCACCATCATGCAGAAGGGAATGATAAGGTTTAGTCCTGCAGTGGAAAAAAAAAAAATCTAAAAACTTCCCCTGAAAATAAAAGAAAGCTTAGATCACCATCAGTCACTGGATAACCTATTTTAAGCCCATCAGAGCCAGTGCGCTGTTCTCATGTTGCTAATTAAAAATGATAGATTCATCAATTAATCTCTCTTCCTGTCCTCTAGTCTTAGTATGAGATTTTTCAAAGGGACAAATGGTCATTAGGTGCCCACTAGTATCATTTCAGCCCTGCAAACTTGTGCCTTTGTCAACATGAACCAGAACCTGTCCCTTTATGCTATAAATGACAAAAAAAAAAAACCTTAGAAAGCTTTGCCACCCTGACAAACATAAAAGATTTATAATGGGGAAATAATCTTATCCTCTGTACAATGAACATTGCTACATAAATCCTCTAATCCGAACTTGCTCACTGATGAATAAGCCTCTGTTAAATGTGGCAGAGAGAGATGTCTTAGACTTAGTCTCTTGATTGAAACTCAATTGCAATATTACTACATAGCAGTCAGAGATCCTCCACTATTTAGGAAAGAAGCCATGAAGGCAATCTATTTTTATTCACATTGAAATGGAGACAAAGATAAAGGTCCTGCTGTTAGCTTAGCAAAGTGCCAGTCACATAAAGCATGCCAACGACAATGGTTATCCTTTCCTTTCAATATATGTATTGCCAGGCAGAGAAATAGAATTGGGGTGTACAAGGTTAACAAGCCAGCATCATGTTATGAAGCAAGTGATAAAATTGTCTTATAGTTCTTAACTCTGACCTGTTCCAGTGAAAAGCTGCCAAGCAGAATTATGTCATCCTGAACATCTCTCTCAAACTGTTCGATATATGAAGGAATCTCTTCATCTTCAAGCTCCCTGTGAAGGTCACATGCCTTACTGGAGCTGACAGGCATTACAGCGTCCGGAAAATCTTCACTGACGACACGGCCTGCTTGAAACAAAAGTGGCAGATTATCTCTCAGCAAATGGGAGTTCATTCACTGGGTGCTACCTTCTCGGTTAATATGTTTGGCCCACCAAAACTTTAAGCACGAAACAGCATCAGTAACACAACTGACAGGTGCCAAGTACCAGGAAAACTGTCCTCAAGTGCAACATCTGAATTCAGGTACAAATTTAGCATGTGCAGCTTGTTCCTTAGGAACATTTTAAAAGGTATGATCTACATTTCCACTGGCACTTTGCTCGCATGTTAATCTTAAAGGGACAGGGATTTGGAACAACTTTGGCATTCTGTCCTGAGGAAGAGGAGTAATAACTGCAATTGAATGGGAGTTTTAGGTGAAGCAACATCAAGCATTTCATCTTCCTTTCAACTCACCCCAAATGATTGGATTCCTTTCCCTGGGTGTACGTGTGTAGCTTCTGCCTAATTAATTGGGTCCAGTTCTGCTCTCACCCACACCATTCCCCTGATTTCACTGCAGAGACTTATGCAGAACCAAGGGTACATGCATCACACAAATAAAAATCATTCATAAAGTCAGCCTTAAAAAGAAATTGTCTTTTTTTTCAGTTTAATTGATCATGCTATATTAAAAATAGATCTCATTGATATCTGCTACAGTACTAGCACTAGTTTGGATCATAAATAATGACAACTATTTTTGCTCATGTTTTCACATTAGCATCACTAAAAGATAACAGATATCAGATTGCCCACATCTGTCTGTCTTATTTCATATTTCTGTGTGTAAGCTTTTATAGTTCTCTGTGCCTATCTCTTAAAGAAAATGCCATATCCATTTATTTGCTTCTTTTTGTCCATCCTATGACATGAAAGCAGTTAAAAGAGAGGGGTTTTTTTCCTCACTCTCCTTTGAAGTCTTTCATTCCCTAATGAAGACCAGAAAAGGAAAGATAAAACTAAGGCTATTAACATTTCCAGTTTTGCTCACTGCTCATTGTTTAATGACTTTAATTGTTGAGCCTCCCGAGAACTTAAATCACCTCGGTGCCACCAACACACAGGAAGTAGGGTGGGTTTTCTATTTAATTGCAACAGGATACGATTCAAAATCATGTTGGGGGAAATGTACAGTAGATATAAACAACTCAAACCATTACCTTAGGGTACACATCTCTTTATGTAGCACTTTACAAACCTAATGAAAAGTGATTTGACCTACAACTATTAACTGCAAAAACAAAACAATATTTACATTTAAATTTACTGTAACATTAAGGGTTTGGCTAGGAGAGAGAAACCCCAGGAAGCACAGGAAAAAGAAACATTGCCAAAAGCACAAGATGGAGCATTGCTTGTTCCCCTTGATGCTGTGTTGTACACAATGGGCCATATGCTCAGCTTGTATAAATCAGCTGCTTTACTGCTTTCACAGGAGCACCGCAAGTTTACATCCTGGGAAGTCAGTAGATTCCTGTCTCAGGGTAGAGCAATAGTCAAAAAGGGAATAAAACCATTTATTTCAAAAAGATAAACATGAACCAATTCATCAAAATATACTTTTTCGTTTTTGCATTTCATATTTTTGTGAGGAATCATATCAAGCAAACTCAATTTTGGTGGAAGACATTGGACTCACTGGCACAAGTTTTGTCAAAAAAGAGCAAAGGAAGAGAGCATTTTCAAAAGCCTTTTCAAGGGAAGCAGCTCTGAAAAACAGAGTGATAAATTACAACTTAGATTTGAAAAATATTTTATTAAAAGATACATATGCTCATTTAAGCACAGTTGTTCATTTGCCTCAATTGGAAACAAGGAGAGAACAGGGTTAGTTCAGCTGATCTATTCCTGCTGCAGTGGCTTTGCAAAGAAACTTCTGAAACTTGGTCAGCATGAGGCTGGTCCTTGCTTGAGCTGATCCACAGGTTGGAGGATTGAGGTGGTGCCCCAGAGCAATACTTGACCAAAAGAAAAGCAAATAAATCTTCACTGTACAAATGTAGCCAGCATTAAAATTTCTACTATTTTGTACACAGACGATAAAATGGCTGAAAATTCATTAACGGATTGATAAACTAATTAAAAACTTGCTGCTTGAAATTGCTAGCATGGCCATCAAAAGTTTTCATTGCTTTGGATGTACCTAACCCTGAGAGTCATGCTTTCCTTGTAGCTTAAATTACTTCAGCACAGGCTCTATTTGCAAATGCTGGGCTGTAATTAAAACATTCACTCTGGTATTAGTTTGTCTGCTTGTGACTTCATTTACTTCTGTATTTTTCCATCATCAGATAGCAGCAGTTTATATACTGAGATTGTCATTTAAAGGGTATATTCAGCAGCAGACTACACCTCAGGATGGATTTGATGCATAAAGCTGCAACAAACTCCATAAGGAAAAATAACTTTGGCTACCTGGTCTAGAAAACTGTGTACAAATTGTATCTAAAAAAGGTCAGTGCTGAAGGCTCGTGCAGCAGTTTCAGACAACTCTGCAAAACTTGGCACATGAATTTTTTGGTTCTTGCCAAAGAACAATATAATAGAAATTACTTTTTATGGCACTCACATATCATCATTTAAAATGTTCATGCATCACAATCTTATATTGGCAAAAATGCAAGGTAAAAATATGTAGTCTATATCTTTAAAAACAAACAACCAATAGTGCCTTTTAAGTTGTCTTATAATAAGAAGTAACACATACCACAAGACTGACCAACAGGTTGCTCAGTGACAAAATGCTTTAAATATACAATTATATAAATCCTGAGCCATGTTCTTTCCATTCCTTTGGAGATCATCTATTAATTAGGACTGTATGACTATGTGATTTTTCAGCTCAGTGGCCAAATGAAGAAACTAAGCAGTTCTGTAAGAGTGGAACCAAATGAATCCTAGTTGCCTATGGTTTTTCTGATGCCTAATAAGGGTCAAACTCCCATATTAGCTTTTCCCTCGGTGGAGACATTAATAATGCTTGTCTGCTCTGCTCAACTGCCCACTTCCATAAAACTGGTAAGGAAGTCATACCTGTGAGACTTGCTCCCTGTTAAACAAAAAAAAAAGGGTTGGAAGTGACCAACTAGTTCTAATACTGAGAGAAAAAAACACAGGCAGAAATAAATACGCCCTGATACATGCACAGGGGTGGAAACTGTACAAGCTTCACCTCCCCAGGAAAATCTCTCTTTTCTGGATTTGCTTCATCCAAGCAAAGAAAAGTAATAAATTCAGCTAGAACAGTGTGCAGCTTCACCCACAGGACTAGCTCTGACACCCATCGTGGCACTTTCAAGAAATAAAAGCACCAAAGCACAGCTTGGGAAGCAGGATGGCAGTGGCCTGCAGTGCATCCCCCATTTGCTGCCCTCACTCCTACACAGGGGGCTCTGATGTGCACATGGGAGCGTGAGACACACATGCCAATGCATTTGCTTGCCCCAGAATTGACATTAACAGGGGAAAATTGAGATCTTGCTAATAACTTGTTAAAGGCTTTTGCTTAAAATATCTGTATGAATTCAGTTGTGATGGTTGTACTTTTTCCCCCCTTGCATTAAAAATGAGATGAAATGGGTTTCAAAGATGTAACTGATATGACCAGTGCCAGTTCAAGAGATTTTGCAAAAGAAAACATTTGCCTCTTCTAGAACAAAGTTGCTTATAAACTAAATAGTCAAAAAACAAGCTGCAGCTCCTGGAGCTCCAGTGTCATAGGCAACCACTGCTCTCTCTGACAGAGCAGGCCCGTGTATTGCTGAAATACAGCAGGAAGCCTCATACAGATACAAAGGACACAAAACAATTCTGCACAAAAGACATCTGCTGAAAAAGGCTTGTACAAACTTCACTTCTCCTAGGATGAACCAGAGGAGAGCAGCAGACATGGGGCTTGTGAAAAGGCTGTGATGGCAAAGGTCTCATGAATCAACCAGATTGTAAGTAATGCCTGTAAAAATAAGTGAAACCAAAGTAAGGCTGTTTGCTTGAGGTAAAGAAATCTCTTCTCATACACTTTGTTTTTACTGTAGATGGAACATCAACTTGTATTTTCTAACAAAGGCACAGAAAACACTTTCTTACTCATCTGTTGGTGTAAATCCTTGTATAGATAACCTGAAACAGTGTCACATGACTCATGCATCAAATTTCCCATTTGTGTTTAGCAGCTTAAATAAGGATTTTCATTTCTAGATCTGAGCACATAAGTAATGATATTTCCAGTCTTTCTTCCTAAGTGTGGAATTCAACATGCAGTGAGGCAATCTAGAGAAAGCACGCCACTTAAGTTACAGTTAAAACCACATAAACATGACACAAAACAAAAACATTTGGAGAAAAAGGCCTTGCAGAATTGCCTTAAAACCATCATCCCTTTGACTTCTGAGTTCAAGGGGATGGATTACCCTCTCTTGTCCCCCCATGCAGATTCAAAAGAGTTTTATTTTTCTTTATGCAATTGACTCTGCTATTTACCTTGGAAGTCCAGCATCTTGTTTTCTTCATCTAGAAGCTTCATCAGTTTAGAGTACAGGATTTGCTCATCAAATTTCACAGGATCTTAAAAAAAACAACAGTGAAACAACTACAATTTCTTCCAGTAGTATTTCAGGGAATATTATTTTAAATTAAAAGTAAAAATATAAAAATACAAAAGTTAGGAAGTCCTTTGACACTTGAAGATAGTTTTTACAGTGCTAGTTTCATAGCTCAGAATAAAATTACAGTCACTTTTCTGATGCAAGAAAAGTCAAAATAAAATATATAGTCATATACTTTTAAATGGTAAGCAATATTATATGTTGACCTGTACTGATACTGGTTTATAAATTTTACTTACAGAGTAGCTGAAATGACTGTTTATATTTAAATTGCCAGATGAATTCTATTTGTCTCTTAATAAAAATCAAAATACCCAATTTATTCTAATGTGATTTTGGATCTTCATTAGAAATTTTACCTTGCTGTCAATAATACTAACACAATATCAAGTAGGAGTAGTCATTGCAACACTCTATGAACTTTGAATTTTTGGCTCGTTAGTCATTCAAATTTTCAGTAATATCTGCAGATTTTAAAAAGCAGCAAAGGATATGCATGAAGCTTACCTTTTTCCATGAGACCTAGGAAAAAAAAAAATTACATAAAGTTTCTGTATTCAAGGGAGAAATGAGCAATTGGGACCATTTTCTCTCCAGATCTCCCAGACCCTGACTTCTCTAAGTTGCCAGTGAAGACAGGCAGACAGAAGACCAAAGAAATGCATGCAAGGCAGGTGGATTGAAGTACAGCTACATGCAAGCTTGGGTAGCTCTTTTCAAGTGCTCAATAGAATCTCAAAGAATATGCTCTTTTTAATCAGGAAATTTCAGAGCCAAGTTACACTGATCTTTCAAAGAAGGTAGTGGCTTCTGCAAACTTCCTCTGAAAGTATAAAATCTTACACTTCTTTCAGCCTGCAATGTTGAAATGTTCCCTTGGCAAGAGGCACAAGAAAATCCATAGTGGGACGTTGTCTGTTCTCAGGGCACTATGAACTCACACAAATTTCCAGAACCAATCTAATTTATCAAACATAGAAAAGATAATTGCCAATATCTTCATTTTCACAGAATAACCCATTAAAGAATAGTTAGTAGCTGAAGGTTTGCCTTTCACCAGATATTCTCTTTGGGCATTGAGGTGGTTTTCTAAAATTCTAGGAATGTAACTTGAAAGTGTGCCCTAATTTGTTCATGTTTTTCTGGTTTTACTCTTGCTCATGACAAGCTACTAGTCAGAAAGAAGAGGTAAACCAGAATGGTTTCCAATCAGGGGATGACCAAGCTTTAGTTCAGGTGGTCTTTTTTAAATCCATCCACTACATACAAATGTAATTCCACTCATTTAACACTTCTGCAAGGAAAAAGAAGCCAGATAGTGAGCCTGGTTTGTAAGTATTGACAAATCAGACTGCTTAAGGTAGGAAGACACCTCCAGAATCCATCTAGCCCAGCTCCCCTTGCTCAAACAGAGCCAAGTTGCCCAGGACCATATCCAGGCACCTTTTGAATATCTGCAAGGTAATCGTTTTGCTCTTGGCAGAGGTATTGGTAAATATAGCATTATAACTACACAACAGACATCCACACAGCCAACCTGAGGCTGGTACTGCAGATATTTGACTTTTAATAAGCAAGTGTTATCCCAACTTTTAAGTAACATTTTTGCCAGGGAGAAAAAGGAGGAACACCAAAAGACAGCTTTTCACACATGGATGTCAGGCTTAGCATGACATGCAATTGACTAAAACCACCTCCCCATTCCAAACCCTGCAAGTCAATGGACTAAGAGCCTGGTCCAAATACTCAAATAAATAAATAAATACATAAAAACCCCCACCACACAATACAAAATCATCATTTATGGTTAAGTTTATCACTCAGCCTCTTCAACACAGTCAAGAAAATGTTTCCTCCCAATGAGAACTGTATTTCCGTATATCCCTTATGTCACCACTCTGTCCATACACGATTTCAGGCATACATGCACAGATACATAAATCTAATCTGCTTTTCATTCTCTGGTTATGAAGCAGATCATGACTCATAAAGCCCTTTCATAAGATGAACCAAGGCAGGACCAACAGGAAAAAAAATCTTTCCTCTAAAAACTCTGAGCCAGAAGCTGACTTCCCAGGTATTATTACACTGCTATCCTACACAGTGAATGGGGAAGTTATTTGGATTAGATGTAATTCAACCTTGATCAACCTTGGGGTTTTTTTTCACCAGAAAACAGTAATTCAAGTTGGTTATATGCAATAGAGCCTGTTTTTTTTTCAGTCACATAAGTTTTTGTCTCAAAAGTTTAAAACCTCAATATGTGCTCAAAGTTTCTCGTGACTTTCAGAAGTGAACAACTTTGAGACCCTTTAGGACAGATAACTTTTTTTAGCTCTCAATACAGCTGTGCATCTGGAGAGTCTTTGGATGAGCACAGGCTTTAGGAAAGCAAGAGGCTAGCAAGGTAACACAGGAGAGCTGTCTCTCGCGTGCTATCAGCTTGTTAGTGCTTAACAACAGGAGCCAGGCCAAAGCACCCAGTGCATAGCTAAGCACTTCATTACCATGATGATGCTCTTACTTAAGTCCATGCAAATTCAGGCAGGCCCGTTCCCACCCTTTTTTATCTAAAAGCCATGACAGCAGAGGAGAATTTCCTCTGCTAGACAATACCTCTTGGTTAATCTCTCTCATACCTATGCATAACTTCTGTTCTTCCAGCTCTGCAGAGTCACACCCTCCCAGCGGTTGCTATCGCCCACAGAGAGCAAAGCTAAACATCTCGGCTAAACTGGCAAAAAAGAAAACCAAAAAAATCCTCCTCATGCACTTTTATTCACTCTGGGGTTTCCTTCTCTTAGGCAAACACACATTCAATTCTGTAATAAAATTGCTCTCCAAGGAGGACTTTGGGAGCAGGATTGTGAAAAAGCTACAGCTTCACACTCAGTTCTGGAATAACTTCATTAATTAAAAGGGATATGGTGTAGACAATGCTCTCAGAGCGTGCTTCGTTTTGCTACAGTAGCAGAGTGAATACAGAACAGCCTCATTTTTACCTGCCCATTAACTCACTGTCCTTGATCAAAGTCTGTGTATACTGCCCACGGTGTGCAGAGCAGTTAAGGCTTAGAATTTAAATTGTAAACCTCAATATTTAAATAGAACTGCATATGTGATCTCTGACACCTCATTTTCATGAATGGAAAAGAATATTCTGACACCAAAATTACATACTTAATTCTGCCTCACCTTCCTCACTGACCTCCATCCCACACTGCCTTGGGTTTATTTCCTCACCCATCAACGGGTCAAAGTAATTTCTGCTGTATTCATTTCCTGTGGAAAGCACATGAAGTAAGGGTCAGCGATTATTAGAAGCACATGAACTAAAATGTTAATTTTGAAATTGACACCAGCAAGCAAGGGGGCATTTTTTGCTACTTTACAAGCTTAATTTTTTTAACAAGTCCTCTAAGCCTACTGGTACTGTAATTATCATCTTGTGAAAGGTCAGAAAAGGTAATTCTGGAAACAAGTGCACTTTATGTTACTTTTTCTTAGGAACTAATGAAAAAAAATTCTCAAATTTAAATGGCAGAAAGATAAGATTTTTTTTAAAAAAATACAGCATCCCCAATATAAGCCAAATTATTTATGAAACACACTGTACAAGTGGATTTTCCATACTGCAAAGGAATTTGTATTTCACAGCTGACCTCTCCAATTTCAACAGTTTTAAATTTCACCACTGAGCTTTCAATGTCTGGTGCATCTTTAATACTGTATTGAACCAGAGAAGTGTTTAATTACAGAGGAGATACCAGGATACTGCCTCATTAATCTGAACAGCAATTATGTTCAGTTGGACTAGGTAACTAATCCAAGATTCTGATGGAATAAACCCACTCATTTTAGTACTTGTTCATTTTAATAGCTACTCTTATCTGCTCTTTAGAAAATAAACAAATTTACAAAAAATTAATTTACTAGAATTATCATAGAATAATACAGCATCTAGCTGCCTAGAACAACTCATGGTAAAAGTCAGAAGAATTTTCCTTACACAAGGAGGGAGGGCAGACTTTTTCCTCAAAATATATCTTTTCTTCAGCAAAAGTGCTACACTCTATTAAAGCCATCTACATGTCCTCTGGGTTTGCAAATACTGTCAATTGTTATTAAACAGGAGGAAAAAAAGAAAAATAATTAAGTCCATAACAAATGTTTTAATTGCTTGAACAGAGATAGATGTATATCCTGGAAAACACATAAAAGCTAAATGTATGAGGGGGTTAATTCATCCAAGATACACTATGGTTGTCTACACTGTATTTGTTTTAGGATCAAAAATAATCCAAGCAGCAGCTCCTTTTCAGAAACTAAATGAAACTTCGATATGAAACTAGGTTTAATTTATATTTCTGGACTTGCACATTTTGACTGTCAGTCTCTGTTCCTTCAATGTAGTAAGTACAAGAACTGAAAATTTGCTTTACCTTGAGGTCTCAATAAAGAAAAAATAAATGAGTTTCATTTTTGTTACTTTATCTGTCAACAACTACTAGGCTGGTATGAATCTTGGCAGTATGTAATCAAAGTCTTATGTACTGCAATAACAGAGCCATTCTACCTTATTCACTGTAATTGTTTTTCTCTAGCACAAAGCACCATGATGTTATATGAACACCCCTTCACATGTTGGTAAAATAATTCACCTACGTGCTAAAAAAGAAAATGATGATGCATTTCTTTACTCAATTACTTCATAGCTGTAAATGTAAATTGCTGGAACGTGTTTTATACCCATATAAAAAATATTCAGCTATGGCACAGGCTTTTTTCACAATCTTACTATCACAACAGCTTTTATTGAATTTTAATATCCCATGTGAGTCTGGTGTGAAACTTTGAGGAGTAGACTTTTGGGCAACTCTTCTGGACAGTATAATTGGCATTTAGAAGGAAGTGTCATGTTATATTTGAGTCTGCAAGGCATGGAAACCATTATTCAAAAAAAATAGATACATTGACAAATACCATTAAATTGCTTGCTCTCTGGTCCTCTTTAAAAAGAAGAACAACCTCAACACTTTGAGGAGTATGAAATTTTTTTGTCCAGGGCTTTGGCTCTGTCAGAACCACAAGCAGCTGCTGACAGAGAGTTATGCAGAAGGAAAAATAACCACCAGGCTTGATTTCTTCAGAGCAACATACACGGTTTAAAACTTACATAAGCAGAACAAGTGGTAAACACCAGAATCACCTCCTCACAGTGATTTTATAGATAATAATCCATTTTAAACTGCAGAATTCCACAGAAAGCATTTACTGAGGCTTCCAGAAGAGCTGAATCACTCAAACCTTAGGTCACTGTTCTGGGCAGGGGATGTTGCTGTTTTTGGGTTTCTTGGTCTTTTTTTCTCCTTCAGCTCAACACACACATTGAGAAGTGGTGTGACCAAGAGGTGTTAGCCCTGGGCAGGTCCAAAATTATTCAGGGGCAGTGAGAGTTGCTTTAGTTTTAAGATATAAAATTATCAATTTTAGTCAAGATAACACACTGCCCAAGGCATTTTGCTATTAACATTTTGTGAGCATGTGAACAGATTACTAATAATTTTACATTTGCTTTTGGAAATATTTGAAAGTGTATAACATGTAAATTAACAGTCCACTAAGGAATTCACATTGCTCTGCTTTGTGGTATAAACACAGTAAATGTTAATTCAGAGCTTGCTTGTAGGTATTTTGAACAGAACTGTATAGCTTGGTGCTTTCAATAGAGCAAGTTACTTTGACAACCTGCTCCCAAAAAGACCTGGCCAATTTTAGAAACTTGGGTCTCTGCTTTGATCCAGAGGTTCTCTCAACCTCATTAGCTCAATTTGAAGACCAGTTCATCCCTCAAAATTGTGTTGTTTCATGTGGAAAACACAATGGGTAATTCAGGAAATCAGAACTAAAATGCAAACCAACAAATTACCTATACATTAAAATAAAAATTGAAAGAAGGGTGTTGGCACAACAGTGACCAGATGGGAATTTGTACAGTTTAATTAAAGTAAGAGGAGTTGCTAATAAAATTAGCATAATCCTTGGATGTAGCCCATGGGACTGTACACGAATTACTAGGACTGGATGAAACTTAAAAGATGGCTTTTAAACTAAGATGTCTGTAGTCAATTATGCCGTCTATGTCCTGAGAATACCACACAGGAAGGGCATGACTAAGCTGAATTTCTACATTTTCCTCTACTCCACAGAGAGATCAGGTAGTCCGTATCAATTACACATGAAAGGTATAGCTCGGAATTCGGATATCAGGCAATTCCATTTACGTTGTATTACTGATCTAGGCTTTTAGCTTAATGAAAGAATAGACAAAACTCTGTTGGATTTGTTAAGTGCCTCCCAATCACAGTAAAAATTAAGGAATTATCAATAGCTAGATGACTGACTACTAAAAGCTTGAATAAACAATTACTGGTACTTTTTTTCAGAGTGAAGCTGGATTTTCAGGGTAAAAAAAAAAATTTGGCATAAGCCATCTTTCTTTGGAAGACAGTATGCAGATTATGGTCTGCACAAACTTGCCATACGTAACAAGTCCCTTTTCAGACAGCAGCATGGTCAGTGCGTGTCTACCAATGACTTGGGAGAACATTACTGGGCATTACTAAGGCAACTCATAGAAGCCTTTTGCATCAGATAAAATAAGACAGAGGCATTTTGGAAAGATGAAATTCCAGCCTGAGACAGCATTTTGACCCAAAGTGCTTTTGAAACATAGTGATGCAGCTGGGAATGGAAAAGAGTAGTCCTCCTTTCCCACACCTGACTCAAAGCATTGATTTCAGCTGCAATTCCTATTAGGGAACATCACAGCAAATACTCACATTCTCCATTCAACAGAACTGGACTTATTTCCTTGGGGATACTTTTCATTTTACTTAGCAGACAAGGCCCTTTAGGCAGCCCAGACTGAAGGCGCTGTGATAACATATTTCCCCATTTCTCTATGAGAGCCAAAGCAGTGTTCTGGGTCAGACTTGAATATTCTCAAAGTGACCGCTTCAACTTGACCAGGAAGAACCAAGACTTGGGACTAGAAGGAAGGGAAAGCAAGGGTCCCACTTCCAGCATTTCAGCTACTTCACTTACCCTTCCTCAGGTCATGATGGGTTTATGACTAGCACTCCCACATGTTTTCATGATTCTGTACCTTGATTACATTGATAAAGTTTGATACCTACGAGTTCCTTATTTGAGCTTTTGATTCCACTGTGGACTTTGAAAAAAATCTATAAAGAACTCTAAAAAAATCATTCAAAAGGATTGAAGAATAAGAGAGGAAAAAGAAGCCTTTCACCTCAAAAAGAATCTCACATAATGCAGAAGCAAAGAAGAATCATCACTGAAAACTGCATAAATAATAGGAGTTCCTGCACAGTGAAAAACTAAATGGGTTTCCAGTGAATTTATAAGTTCTTACTTCATATAGGCAGTGATTTAAAAGTGGAAAATAATGTAGGAATATTTGAAATTTTCATGAAAAAAACATTTGAGCTTTTACTCCAAAATTTTGTGTTGCTAGAATTACTGATATCCAAATGTTAAGAAGATGCTAAAAATAAAACTACAGTCATGTAGAATATAGTGATTAGAAATTACTATGTAGTCCAGAAAACAGTGCTAACTTTACATATTCATTTTTTAAGGGGAAAAAAAAAAGGAAATAATGTGAGTTAGTCAGAAGCCATACTTTCAGTTTGGGTTTTTAATTATTATTACTGATATAATATAGGTCACATTTACCTCAGCTCATGTCCATTTGAGATATACATATCTAACATTATTTTCTATATTATATGTATAGATAAATATTTTCTATGTAGATCTAAAGTAAGATTCCTGGGGTGCAACATAATTCCAGAGTATCAAATATATGGAAGAGTGGTAGGCATTTTTACACAGAGCTTATAATTTTCACCAATAGCAAGCAGTATTCAATGAAAAATTATATGCTAATGGCACCTTCGTACCGAAGAGCATTAAGCCAGTGACTGGACAGATTTTATCTTGAAAACGCAGCTTGTTAAACACTACCAACACCAGGAGACTTCCCAATTTTTAAAAAAAATGTTTTAAAGGTATCACATGTCATTACCTTATCCTCAGTATGAGGACAATGAGGAAATCAGATAACTGTGTCTTATGTTCATATTGCAAGCCTTGAATAAACTCAGTTGTCAGCTTTGACAGGACACTGGCAAAGGGACTGTTCCTGAGCCTGAGCAGTACAGATCCTGCTGTGCCTGTCCTGACCCTTGAAAAAC